TTCGTTTGTCCATGGTTCATCATCAGGTTATGCGCCATGAAAAGGATCTGAAAGAGCTAGTTGGAAAAAAAATCATTGGAACCAGCCTGATGAGGGCCCCGATTCGAAACTTTCACTGGTTTATAGCGCAAACTGTGCCCATTCTAGAACCCCTAGAGGCACTTTTCCAGCTTGTTCGGTTTTCGGTCAATTGACTCGTGAAACTGTTGAAGCTCAAAAAATCCCTGATGATGGCACCAATTCACAACCGTAAACTTATTATTGGACCCAAAAGGGAGTTTTTCTGGAAAACCCCTGATGATGAGCGGCAGGGTTGAAACTTAGGGCGAACTGGAAAATTCGTGACGCGTTTCGCGTTTCTTCAAATCCGGTGTTGAAAATTGACTTGCCAAAGGCGCCAGGCCTGAGGATGGCTGGCCGAAACTTTCAAGAGCCCTGGGGAATTTTGGCGCTTTCCAGTGCAAAGAGAGGGTCAAGATCTTGACCCGCCAAGTTGACCGTCAAGATCATGACAAGCCAACTAGTTTTTTCCAATATTCTTCCAACAACAATCTGATGATGCCTCACCGGAAAACGAAACAAGCTAAGCAAATTTTGAAACCGGAAATGGCCGAAGCACAGTTTGCGTTTTGATGCCTGAAAGTTTCGAGCCCGGACCTTCATCAGGATTTTTGCAATTAATTTAAATCCAACTGGCTCTTTTCAGTCGTTTTTCAAGCGCATAGTCTGATGATGAACCATCGGCAAACGAAACCCGCTAAACAATTTCCCTTGGCGCCGTTGGGCCAAGCAGATTAAGCTCGATGAAAGCTGAAAGTTTCGGGCCGATGGTTTCATCAGGTTTTTGGCAAAAAATCAAAGACAACTAGTTTTTTTCGAGCATTTTTCCCGAATATAATCTGATGATGAGTCATCGGTAAACGAAACAAGCTAGGCAAAATTTGAAACCGCAAATGGCCGAAGCACAGTTTGCGTTTTGATGCCTGAAAGTTTTGAGCCCGGGCCTTCATCAGGATTTTTGCAATTAATTTAAATCCAACTGGCTCTTTTCAGTCGTTTTTCTAGCGCATAGTCTGATGATGAACCATCGGCAAACGAAACCCGCTAAACAATT